GGCCTCTGCTTCGCCTTTTTTCTTTTCCATTGCAACACAATTAACCTTTTCATTAGAAGAGCTCTGTTCCAAATAAGCAAACTTCTCAATGTGTATTACTGAGCCATTTCAAGCTGTCTCTTGCTTTGGAACAAAACATCTTTGTTCCAGCCATGCATGACATTTGAAGACCTATTTATACAATGTGTCAGCTCCATTTGTTTTCTTCATCCTGATATTTTCATCTGTATTTTTGGTTAGCCATCCAGATTGCAAGGAGCGAGGCTGCTGCTGGTTTCCTCCTGCGCTGCTCCAGGCGGAGGCACTGGCTGCCTTTGGCCTTTCTCCCCTTTTGTGGGCAGAGGTGAAACAACCCAAAATCAAACACAGTTTTGCCTACTTCATCCTCTCTGCATGGAGACCAGCACCACCAGACAGTTGTGGGATGGAGTGCACGAAGTGCTTGCAGAAGGACCTGGTATTACTACAATTTCTCTCTTGGTGCCCTGACTGTGGGTGACACTGCCTGTGGGATGTACACAGATGCAATCCCTTCTGCTGGAGGGGACTCTCTGAGGGCCAGATTTCCAAGTTGCATCACTAAATATGCCCTCCTGCAAAATACCTGCCTTTTCCTTAGATGTTCATGATTTGTCCCAAGTCTCTAATCAGCCCTTCTCGTCTAACAGCACAATGCCAACTGATGCAACAAAAACCAATGTAAAATTAAAAAAAAAAAATCCTTATCAAGATATCGAGTAATAAAACTTAATGTCCTCCTGATTTTAGTATTGAGTAAGTGTAAATAATTATGGGGTTTGGTCCATCCTCTCCCTTGAAAATAATTTCTCTATCCTGGGACACATCTTCTCCTTCAAGAAGGACTCAGGGTAGCACTGTCCCCGCTACTCAAGCAGCGATACAATATCTCTCCTAGTGCTGGCACTGCCTAGTGACAAATGAAAGTTTAAGTCCTTTTTGAAATCTTGTACACAACCTGCCAGCTGAAGGTTTCAGCTGCTTTAATGTATGCAGGATGCCAGGGAAATACCGCAAGCCTTACTTTAACCAGAAAACGAGGCTGAAGGTGCCAGCCCAGCAGTGGTGAGCCTGGGGTTGCAATGGCAAAACCCCATCTGCTCTCTCCAATATTATCCTCACCAGGAAGATTGGGGAAGGAGGGTGACAGAGCTCCATGCAAGCAAACCTGCTCCTGCCAGCTATTACGTGGCCCACTCAAAGCCTTTAAGGCCAAGCAAGACTTCAACGTTGGCCTTGTGCTTCCCCATCCACATAAGAGGAGACAGAAGGTTTGGGCTGTAAGTTCAGAGATTAATCCTCAGAGCACCTCACCGTTATGTTTTACATAGACACTCCCTCCAGCTCTTGGGAAAGTGCACAATTTCCACTGGACGTGAAGCTGAAGGTCATTTTCATGCCAAACATTTAACGTGTGACATATTCAGCCAGGCTGCATGGTGGATGGGCTTCTGCTGCAAGGAGCAGAGGTGGTGGCATGCGAGGGGGAATGCCTTCAATAGCATGTGCTTCAAAAGCAGTGCTTGCGAGCTTTGCTTTGCATTCCAGTGGCTGGGCTAGAGCTGCGTGCATGGCCTTGCTCGGCACAAATGAAACCAAGGCATCCATATGCTGTACATTAAAAGAAAGAGTGTTTGATCTCCTGCTGACTGGCTCACTGCTCAGATGCTCCCTCTTCCTCTCTGTAGCGGTTTTGAGGAGTACAGAGCCCGGTGTCAAAACCTGTAAGTCAGCATGCGTTTATCGGCTCTGTGATGGGAACTGTGGCACTTAAAACAGTTGAGAAAATGTTGCTGGCCACAGCCACAAAACCTGCCCTCATCTTTACCATGATAGTGGCGGAAAATTCCTCAAATTGCATTTTCCTCTTTAAAGATGAAGGGAAAAGGCCCGCCAAAGTGGATGGAATTTAGTCCAACTGATAAAACACCCGGGCTAGCAAAGCAACATGCACATCTCCTCGAGTACAGGACAGAGCCCGGTGTCAAAACCTGTAAGTCAGCATGCGTTTATCGGCTCTGTGATGGGAACTGTGGCACTTAAAACAGTTGAGGAAATGTTGCTGGCCACAGCCACAAAACCTGCCCTCATCTTTACCATGATAGTGGCGGAAAATTCCTCAAATTGCATTTTCCTCTTTAAAGATGAAGGGAAAAGGCCCGCCAAAGTGGATGGAATTTAGTCCAACTGATAAAACACCCGGGCTAGCAAAGCAACATGCACATCTCCTCCGAGTACAGGAACTGTGGCTGTGCCTAGCTGAGGCCACCATGAAGCCACTGCAGCCCTGCATGGGCAAGGGACAGCTTGGGTAACATCAGGCTTCAAGCCTGCCACTGGGTTGATTACTGTGTCACTGCTTACCATGCATTTTCGAGCCATTTATTGCAGTGGCCCATTAACATTATGTTCTGCTAAAAAGCTACAGACATCTCTGATCCACATTAAAGATGCTGGTGAGATAGGAGAGGAAAGCTCCACTGCGTAGAGGACTTACTGGCTCTTCAGCATTGTCCCATGAGGGTTGGGAACCAGGCAATACTGTAACTTCGAAGTGGTACAATGGGGAAGAAGCACAAGCAACAACCAGGTAACAATAGAAATGAGTTTTATTTTGTAAAAAGTTATAAAATGAATATTGTACAAAAATAAAGTCTGTAGAGAACTTTGGTTGATTAACACAAATGACTGAGACATAAATCGCAGGTGAAATAAAAAACTCCAGAGAAGCACACTCCTGTCTTCAGTAAGGTCTAAAAAATAAAAAAAAAATCACGAACTTTACCCTTTTGTATTTTGAACATAGTGATTTGCTTTGATTGCAGCCTCTTCAAGCTGCACAGAAAATGCTTTGGGGCAAGTTTTCAGCAGCCAGGGCAAGTGAAAGCGCACCTCTGAGTGCTGCGCCTCGTCAGCTGCTCAGCAGCGCAGCTGACCTTCAGCTTAGCAGGCTTTTACTGCCCAAATCATGCCGATGCTGGTGGTGGTATCAGCTGTACCACCCCTGCCCAGTGTGGAGGGTAAGGTGTCCCTGTGGCAGTGCGAGAACGGACCCCGCGGGTGGGCTCTGGGGCTGCCCTCCATCCCCCCAGGAAAGCAGCAGACATCAGGGCTGAACTACATTTCATACACCTGGTACATCTTTCCATGCCTGTTCTGGACTTTTTTGACCTCTAGACCTTTCTTCTGTGGCGCCCTGAAGGGCCCAGGGCAAAATGAGTATGAAGAGCCATTGCATGCATGAGATAAAGGGTTGGACCATCATTTTTTGGTTTTCAGTAGGGATTTTCTTTCTTCCTGTTGTTTTTGTGGGAGTTGATGCTTCACTGGTTGTCAGGTATGTCTAGTGACCTGCACTGCTGTTCCTTCGGGAAAAAGGTCTCCAGAACGAGAGCTTGTGTTAGCGGTCAGGTATGAACACCTTTGCTGTACAACCTCCCTCATCCTAAGGACACTCAGACTGTTCTGCTGCGTGGGTAAGATCCTGTAACGATTCAGCAAATTATACAAAACACTTTGGTTATTTAACACAATTGTTTACCTGCAGGCTACATTAAATCCAGGGCTAACTAGTGAGAGGGATTTAACCTCTTCTATATGGAAATATGGAAGGAAAAGCTTAAATAAATATAACAAGAAATTATAAGGCTAAATGTGATTATTTTCCATTTGTCAATAGTTACATGAGGTCAGCTGGCAAAAAGTGTGAGAAAAAATGTGGCTATATTTAAAATATGACTAGAATTAGTTTTTCTAACAAATTGCTAATGTTGAGCCAAGTCCTGCGAGCCTCACTTGTCCAGAGCCATTGCTGCTCCTGCGCATGTATGACTGCAGTAATTTTCAGAAGTATTAGTGAACAGGAGAAAGGGCTGCAGGCTTCGGCACTACATTTTGTGAACATAATCAGGATTTTGTTTAATAGAAAAAAAGGTAAAGTAAGTGATTTTTTGCATTCAAATTAACACTTTCAATCAAAACCATGGACCGTTGTTCCCAACTTCTTTGTCTCTCTGTATCTTCCAAGCACCTTCTACTTTGGCACCTTTGAAAAGAAACTTCAATAAATAAGGAAAGGAGACTCATTACTGAATTGTAATAAATAACAATAACTTAATCTCAATAAATATCTTCTGTATATTTATGTCTCTGAATGGATGCATTGCATCAAGTAGTCTCTGCTCACTCACAATGACCAAACAGAAATGGAGTTACGCAAGTGACGTTAGTCCTTTGTAAACCAAAAGAAACACGTTTTGTGTAGGCCGGGCTTGTTATTTCTCTTACTATACTAGGAAGAAGTGCTTAAAAACTCAACTTGTTTTCATAGGTAGCAGAAGAATGAAATCCTACACTCATTTTGAAGAAACACAAGATGGAAGTAACCACACTTAACCAGTAAGTGGAACTGTTTTACTTCATATCGATACTGGCCCTAGAGAACTTGAGCCTAGGAATTTTGGTATTTGCCCAATATCATCTTACTTATGAGGTTAATCTTATTATAGCTTAGAAGTTGTCCGAAGTGCTTAGGAACTGCCCTTCCAGCAGTAGCATAACGTGTCTTTCGGTAAAGGGCACAGAGGATGAGTAAGATACTCCTAAGCTACTTCTCAGCTAAGCTTCCTGGCACGGATGGTATAACTACAACATAGCGTGGTATGGCAAGGTTGTGTTTTTAAGCACATTCCTCATGGATCCAAGTCTCACTGACGGTGGACTGTGTCAAACGGGAAAGGGAGCACGCACGCCATCCAGCCGTCGGCATCTCCACCTCAGCTTTTATTTACTTTCCCATAGGATGTCAAAAGCCTCCATCCTCCTACACCGCCTCGCGCCCCCCCCGGGCTCTCACGACTCCTCGTCCAGCATTCTTGGTCCTCTTTTCTCCGCTCTGAGCAGACACTTCCCCAGGAACCTTGGTCCCTCTCTTTGCATCGTAGCAGGAATGCAAAACTGGCGCCGCCTCTGGCGTGCAGCTGTCAGACGCATCCACACCTTTTTGCGGAATGTTTTTTCAGTATGTGGTAAACCAGGTTATCGTCCAAAAAGGACAGGTCATCATCAAAGGCTGTGGGTCTGCAACAAGCTTGCCTCACTTTGTCAGTGACTAGTTTTTTCTTTTTCGTCAAGTTTTTTAAAATTTTGTCATAGGTGGTCTCGGCTGCATCACAAGATCCACTGCAATACCGGAAAATTAGCTCTTCTTTGGTTTCATATCCCAAATCCAAGTCAGTCACATTTAAATGTATTTCTGTTAAGACACATCCTCGATTTTTGCCCTTTTGATTCCTCCTTCCCTTTTTGCTGGAATTCTCTATGTTTGTGGCTGCGTTTTGCCGGTTTCTCTCCCGCCTAGAAAAAATCGGAGTCTGTTTATCCGGCGACCTCCTCAGTCTTTTAATGGTGGCTTGAATAAAGTCCACTACCTCATCAAACTGATCTGGATAGTCCTCGGGCATATTAGCTGTTTGGGAAAGAGAGAAAAAGCTTTGTCACACGTCAGTTGTCATTAAGTTTGCCCATTTGTGGCTCAAAAACATTAGACACATGCAAGCTGCTCTGCTCATCGCTTCAGAGCGTGCACCCAGGACCCTCAGAAATCAGGGAGAATTTTGAATGGTTTAGATCATCATGGAAACTCATTTGGCGAAAAATAAATGAGATATGTATGTATCTCTGTAGGTGGATGCTGATGCTGTAGCACTCCAGCACATCTTTCAATATTGAATGAGCCCTGTCAAAATCGAGGGAAGGAAAAGCATGTCATGATACAGATATTAGTTAATGGGTGGATGAAGCTACTGTAGAGAAGTTATACAGGCTTTTCCCAGCAAAGTAGCAAAAGGACGAGGTTTTTTTAAAGCAATTTTGTGATTATAATTGTTAATTATTGTCTTTTCACACCAGCAGTGGTTAGTATTACCAAAGCCACCTATCGATAAGGTTTCTGGAGGAATTTCCTGGGGTAGCAGCCTGAGCTATTATTCCTGGCTGAATGCCTGCTTTTTTTACTGCTTCTAGGGGATAATTATTATCAGAGCTTTTGAAAAAATTCTCATGGAAGTATTTTGTATCACAAGATGCTGATTAGCCTGAGTAGAAGTAGGTCAGAATAGAAGTATTATGTTAATTTTCACAGCAAATGTTATTAATGCATTTTCTTTTTATGAAGTTAAAATACCTATTTCATTTTTCACTTGATATATACCAGTGATAAATTATTCAAGTAAATTAAATGTTGAAGTCAATGAAACGTTTTGATACTAGCAGAATGAACCTCTTCAAGGAGGGTGAAATTGAACGTGTTCTGAAATGTTCTCAGATTTCAGCATTTCAGCATGATTTGGAAAAAAATCGCATTTTGAAATCTTTAAACTTCTCATGGACTAAATCCCTCAATGGGATCTGCTTTAGTGAATACAGTGATTTAATGGAGGGTCAGGCTGCCTGTGTGTAGGTGCCCTTATGTTGTATTATTAATGATTGTCTCTTAAACACATAAACTACATTGCATTTTTCTCATTCATTGTGCAAAAAATCAAGACTTGAGGACTCACTTCCTTTGCAGTAAGACCTAAGAGGTTGCTTCTTTCTGTACTTAACTCCTAAGTGCCCACACACGTAACAGACCAGTGTCACGCACCCGACCCTGCATGTATGGGAGCTCCACCTCCAGAAGGACCCCTACAAATATCCCAGGAACTGCAAACATTGGGAAAGACGATACCCAATGCAGCGCACCTGGCCAGGGGTTGGTACCTCCACTGAGCCACAAAGGCTCTCACCTGGTCAGGTGCTGAGATAGGAACAGCTCCTTTGGCAAAGGCTCAGCGCCACATTTCCCTAATGAGCACTGTAACAAACAGGAGCCCTGATGGGAGACCAGGCAGTGCCTGTACCCCACCCACACGCCGTGGCATGGACTCTGTTGAGAGAGGAAGACATGAGGCTGCCTCCCATTGCCTAGCGAAGGTGCACCTTCATATCCCCAACAGAATCATCAAATACAGAGGAGACGGGGGCAGCAGGAGCTTAACTCTGTTAGTGCAAAACCTGCTGAAACACAGTGCATCTGCACGTAAGGAGGAACATGGACCCCTCCCCGAAGCAGCCACATCCTAGAGACCCCCCTCCATGACAAAATAGTGATGGATCAGAACTATACAGTTTTTCATGGATGGCTCCAGCAAAATAGTATAGACTGGTAAAAGAGTAATGAAGGCAGGCAATCTTGTACCTTCACATGATGAGGGTGGCACATGGGAAGTGGGATGCTATAAACTGTAGAGTCTGGGACTCGGAATAGTGAATTACACTTTGTTTTACAGATATCCATGCTAAAGGCAACAATCTCGCAGACCAGTGACTGTCAAAAGACACGAAGGAGAGACGACTGCTATCTATACAGCTATATGGGACCTGAACAAGGCAGGACCCTGCACCAAGCCCCATATTCCTGTGACACCAATGGTAAATACACCCTTCTTGCACTCCTCTGTCATTACCTCTGTAGCAGGTACCAAAATACCCACTATGAGCCATACCTACTAGAGGGGGAGTAGCTTGGCTAGATGTGTCCATTGGATGCACCACCCAGCTCTGCTGCAGGACAGGCTGGTCTGCCTACACCATACGAATACTGCCCTACTGTAGGGTAGTAGCAAGGTCCAGGTCAAGGCGATGGGTGGGCTACACTCCTTAAAAGCAAGAAGGGGTAGACACCTTGCTAGACTGGGTCAAGCAAGTTGACCCACGTGGAGCTGGCATAGCCCCCATTGCTGACATACAAGCTTGGCCCTGGCACAGATACAGATGGAGAGGGGTTTGGGAGGAGGCACTTGTTGCTGTGGGACTGGGTGGTTTCTAGGTTTCTTGCACAGAAACTCCGTTTCTTAGCTTATAACCCAATAAGAGAAGGATGTGGCTCTGAGGAGATGGCTCTAGCTGTGCCATTCTCCACTCTCACCTTCAAATTACCCCTCTCATACTACTGTGACTACCCCAGCCCACACTTCTGTCACATACTCCTGGCCCAACCCTTGTAGCAACAGTATGATGCAATGAGATGTTGGCTATGGAGAGTGAAATACAACCATCAGGGAAGCACACTACGGTTTAACGGAATTCATGCACTGGTCAACCACCACGAAGGGAATGGGAGGTCATTAGAAGGAAACCCAACTTATACGTGGAAATTCTTATCTGCAACCTTCAGCCTCATACTTATCCCAAGCCTGGTACACTGCCAGTGCAGCGAGGCGAGTAAGTGTCCCCCACCTAAGAAGGGAGAAACAAAACTGTGGATTACCTGAAGAGATAACAACCCAGCTAGGCACATAATTTTTAAACTGCTTGCAATTCAGGTGCAAAAATATCACCTACCCCTGTGGCAGTGCTATATGCAGGAATCTACTTTGGTTAAATATTAATCAGACAGTTATAGGGTTCAAGCACTGTCCTGCCCAAGCCAATCCAAGTATGCCCTGGAGGGTAGATAAAGAGGAGGAAAGGCCCATGTTGTGGACTGTGTCCCTGCTCAGAGCCCACACTAACATTTATCGTGATTCATGCGTGATCACTACCCCAACTGCACCAAGGCAGCTAAAGGAAGCCTACAGAGGGTGGAAGGAAGGACAGGTAGCCTGCGAGGAATACAGAGAAATTGTCCGAGCAGCCAAAGATCAGGTTAGGAAAGCTAAAGCCCTAATAGAATTAAATCTGGCCAGGGACATCAAGGGCAACAAGGAAAGATTCTATAGGTACATCAGGGATAAAAGGAAGACAAGGGCCCTCTCTGGAAAGAAAAGGGGGACCACCATGCCCACTACCATATCCCTAAGTGCCTCATCTACAC